TGTTAATACTTTAATAATGAACAATGTATTTAGAATAACAGTTATCTGCTAATACTGAATATTAAAATTTTCCCACAGAAACAGTTTACACACTGCTTTTTACTTCTAAGATTAATACCTAATTGAGAAAGCATGAATGAATGCAATATGTGCATTCTCACAAAACTTACATTTTGGAAAAGAAAACTGAGCCATTTTTCCACAAGCAAGAATTGTTATTGTTTTTTGGGAAGACTCCAATCCATATAAGTGTATTGAAAATATGCATAAAACTCTATGAGAAAACAAATTTTTATGAGAAATTAAGTAAATGTTAGTATACTAATCTGAATTTGCAAAAACAATTGCAGTTGGCTGCGCAGGAGGAGGAGAAGGAAGCTGAGACTCTAGCGTGATGGCTAAGTAAACTGCACAGCCCACCAACATCTGACAAAACAAGTGAATAAGCAAATCAACCCCATTCTGCACTCCAGGAACTCAAGGTGACCCCACCCAGCGGACCCAGCAGACCCATCAGTAGATCACGCAATGTTCTGTGCAAATACAGATGACTCTGAAGGAACTTGGAACAACTCAAGTTTCTCCAGAATTTGAGTAGAAGCAACGGTATCCTGCCAACTGGCCAAAGAAACAGGGAAGTCCACTAAACAGTTTGAACCTGTGTCCACCACCTGCAGTGAACTGTGTCAAAGGAAAATACCGTAGGATTAATTAGTGACTCAATTCACGATGTCACTGACCGACTTTCCCAAGGTGCAAAGGCCAGCTGCTGAGAGAGAAAGAGTTGGTTGCTGGAATGGGGAGCCAGTTCCAGAGCATCTGGTGATCTTCCTGAGGACAGCTCAAAACAAAGGAATTTTGTGTCCTGGTAAAGCCAAACTCAATCTCAAGGTCCAGCGAAGGATGAGGGAATTACAGAGGATGACCTCAGCCTTGTCATCAGAGAAAGACTTCTACTAACCAAGTTTAAGCTGGTGTTATGGATATTAACAAACTATTTAAAGATTTGGGAATGATAATTCATGAACAGGGAGGAAAGTGCAAGTGTGCATGTCCAACAATCCAACCAGCAACTGTCAAGGGCAGCAGCATATCTTAAAAGGATCCTTCATGTTGCTGTGAGATGCAGAAGCCATTAAAGACAGAGAAATATCTTAGGTTGCTTCGAGCGCTTGACTATTGTAAATTGTGCTGCTATGAACATTGGAGAGCATAGGTTCTTTTGGATTGGTGTTTCGGGATTCTTAGGGTATAATCCCAGCAACAGAACTGTCGGGTCAAAAGGCAGCTCCATTTTTAATTTTCTGAGGAAATTCCACACTGTTTCCACAGTGGCTGCCCCTGTCTGTATTCCCCCAACAGTGCACTAGGGTTCTCTTTTCTCCACAACCTCTCCAACACTTATCGTTTGTTGGTTTTATGATGGCCATTCTGACTGGTATGAAATGGTAGGTATCTTATTGTGGTTTTATTTTGCATTTCTGCGGTGGCTCCTGATGCTGACCATCTTTTCATGTGTCTCTGAGCCCTCTGTATGTCCTTCTTGGAGAAGTGTCTGCTCAGGTCTTTTGCCCATTTTTTAATTGGTTTGTTTGTCTTCCTGGAGTAGAATCATGTGAGTTCTTTATATATTTTGAAGATTAAAACCTTGTCTGAGGTATCATTGGCAAATATAATTTCCCATACAAAACAAACAAGCAAGCAAAACATAACCAAAGACATTGAAATTAGCAACAAACTGACAGTAACCAGAAGAGAGGTTGGAGGGGATAATGGGGAGAAATGGGTGAATGGTTTTCAGGAACAAAAGGACACATGGACAAAACCCAGGGAGTGGGACCAAGGAAAGGAGGTGGGAATTGCTAGGGTGGGGTGTAGTAATGGGGAGAAAATATAGTCAAGTGTAGTTGAACAACAATAAAAAATTACTGAAAAAGAATAAATATAGAAATCTACAAATGTGCTAGCATAGAAGGAACAAAACTCTTTTATACATTAACTGACTATGTATAATAATTTTTCTTCTGCTTTTTATTTCTATGTTGTAAATTTGAATGCAGTTTCCAATATTATTAAACAATGAGAATGATTTTGAAATTAATATAAGGTGGAAAAAACCCTGAATTTATTTATAAAAATTATTTATTTATTATTACAAATTTAAGTTTCTGTCACCTTCCAAGTACTCTCCATGGGATGCCATAAACCTAGATGTTTTTGTCTACTGTTCAAAAGAGTTTTTGGAGTCATCAATTTTTTAAAAAATATATTTCATTTATTTATTTTTTAGAGAAAGGTGATGGGAATGAGAAAGAGTGGGAGAGAAATATCAGTGTGTGGTTGCCTCTCGTGCATCCCCTGCTGGGAACTGGCTTGCAACCCAAGCATATGCCCTGACTGGGAATTAAACCAGTGACCCTCTGCTTCACAGGCCCATGCTCAATCCACTGAGTTACACCAGCCAGAGCTAAAGTCATTGATTTTGATGCCTTTTAGTGCTTCTGCTATTTATCATTTCACCTCTTCCACATTGGCAAAACATTTCTCTTTGAAGATTCACCTAGGGAAACAAAAAATTCACCTTGGGTCTGATCGAGTGAATAGGGAGCCTGGGAAATAGGGGTCATGCCTTGTTTTGGTCCAAAACTGCTGACCACTCAGCGCAGTACGGGCAGGTGTGCTACTAAATCATCCATCAAGAAATGGGCAAATGTGTTGAAAGAATCTCCAAAAAATATCTGAGGTCAAACACAGCTTCTCATAACAATGCCGGCTGGCACACTGATACAGATGGATTGCTAGAGCACTTCCCAGCAGGGAGCCTGTACTATCAGGAGCCTGGCTTCTGGAAGATAATTCCTCTTTTTTTTGGTCCCCCCTCATAATACCTCAGGTAAAATGCCAAATTGATATTTTCAGGGAACTCATTTTAAAGAGCAACTTTAAAAAATGTTTTTGGTTACATTGTCATTCAATCTTGGTTTAGTTTCAGATGTACAATGTGTGATTGGATACTTTGAGATGTGACCACTGGAATGGATCTGGGGCCCACGGGACTCTTGTTGACTATGATATCTGTGTTCTGCTTTGCATTGTTGCAACTACTTTTATTACTGGCAATTTAAAGAATAACTTTTTGATTAAATTAAAAAATGTGTAAGCTTTTAAGCTGTTCTTCGTTCTCATATGTAGGTAACATTTTATTTTTACCATTCTTCCTTTAAAAAGGAATTAGATGTTTGGCAATTAACTCACTTGCTTTTTAAATCAATTTTGTTTTTGACTTTGCTTTTATTATTTGTATCTCCATGTATGAGAGAGAGAATTTAAGTAGTTGTCCCACTTATTTATGAATTCATTTGTTGCTTCATATGTGTCCTGACAGGAGATTGAACCCACAACCTTAGTGCATTGGAACAATGCTCTAACCAGTTGACCTACTGAGCTAGGGCCTATATCAATGTTGTTTTAATGCATTAATCTGAATACTGTAAAGAGGTCTATCCCAGTTTATAGTTTGTATTTTATAGTGTTCTTATACAATAGTCTGATAGTAAAAAGGCAATGTTTTATATCACAAGCTATGAGACTTGAAATTGGAAAAATAAAGTACTAAGCAACTAATCAAACCGTGTATTTGCAAACAAAATAAAGATGATTCTTTGGAAACAGGTGTGGCTCACTGGGTTGGGACATGTCCCCCACAGTGAAGGCTCACCGGTTGGACTCCCAGTCAGCACGCAAGGCTCGGCTGTGGGCCAGGTCCGCTGCTGGGAGCGTGCTAGAGGCAACTGATTGATGTGTCTCTCCCTCTCTAAAAACAAATAAGTAAAAAATTTAAAAATAGACGATTTTTAAAATGAGAGCAAAAACAAGTTAACTCTCTCCAACTTACATTCTTTTAATTTACAATATATTGTTACACATTGAACGCATTAGGAAAATGGGTTAGTGTGAAAAGTAAAGAGGACAAATGGACAAAAATACCAGTTTCACAGCTCTGAAAGTTGATCAAAGACTAATAAAAATGTAATTATTTGTTATTGGAAAAGCTGCTGGAGATTCAAGTAGGAATAGAGCAAATTTGAAGTCCTCCAGTCTAGGACTGCTCCCATGTCTCCCCCGATCCCCATCTCAGGTCAGTGAGTAAGAAGTGTGATTTTTACAAATCGGGGAATGGTCAAATATCAATGGTGTTGTTGCCCCAGGAGCAGACTTGATTAGCAGTAGAAGGGGTTGCTCAATTGCCCGCTGCTTTTTCAGTTCCAAGTGTTGAATTAGTAGGTTCCAAATGAGGCAAACCACACTTTTCTAGCACAAAGTAGTGCTCTCCATATTGTCAAGCACAATGCCCACCATAAATGTAATAGGGACATACTAAAGATGACAGCATCGTAGAAAAGATGACATTAACTCTCTACATGTGCTTGATTAATGGTAAAAATGTACACATGTATGGAAGAAAAAAATAAAACCATAAAAAATAAAAGCCAAAAAAGATTTTTAAGTTATGAGCACTCCCCTACATACACATATAAATTCATCAAATAGTAGAGCCAAACTGACTTAAGGTATTTGAATACATTTAAAAATATCATTGGTTGTCAACTATGCTATGCACTTACATGGGAATCCTTAGTAAGTCAGGCTAGAAATGAAAATATATAGTGAAGTTTTAAAAAACTGAATAAGCATACTTCAAAAGAAAGGATTCTACATAATTGTTGATTCAAGTTAAAAATTAATAAATCTAAGAAGGATGTAGAATCCACATTTACTATACTATATTATCAAAAACATGTACTTACAAAAAATTTAAGAAAATGCAAAGAAACTAAAAAATGTTTCTCATACTTGGGGGGAGAAAAATCAGTCAATAGAACCTAATTTTTACTGGAAGAATATATTGAATTTATTAGACAAATATTTTATAGTAATCATTATAAATTTATATTAAATGATAAAATATTTAAACTATGTTCAAATAACTGTATGGAAATATGATGGTAATGACAAAAATCAGAGAAATAAAAACTATATGAATGAATCAAATAAAAATTTTCAATTGAAAATGAATTAAAAAATTAAATACATTTTCGTAAATTTTGAGATGCAGAAGAAAGAATTTGATGACATTAAAGATGAAGTGATAGAAATGATTGATTCCTGAGAGTAGAGGGGAAAAGAAGACAAATTAATGGAGCCTCAGAGACCTTTAGAACTTTATGAGGAAAACTGACACAGGTATAAATATTTCCTGAGACTAAAAAAAGAGACAGAAAAATACCCAAAATAATTCTGGGGACACAAAAAATGAACAACTTAAATTTTGTGTTAAAAATACATATAGATCCATGCATATATGGTTGTTTATGAAGAAATGATCATCTGCTATAAATTATGCCTCATCAATTAAATAACAATGTAGAACTGTCATAAGAACAGACCCATAGATCAACAGAACAGAACAGAGAGCCCAGAAATAATCCAGGTCTCTATAGTCAATTAATATTCAACAAATGAGGCAAAAACATAATGTGAGGTAAAAATAGCCTCTTCAGTCAATGGTGTTGGGAGATCTGGAGAGCTACAGGCAAAAATAAATAAATAAATAAACTCATTCACCAACTTACACCATACACAAAAATAAACTCAATACGAATAAAAGACTGAAATATGAATCACTATACCATAAAAGTCCTAGAGGAGAACATAGGCAGGGAAATCTGAGATATTCCACACAGCAATATTTTCACTGATATGTCCCCTAGAGCAAGGGACATAAAAGAAAAAACAAATGGGACTTCATCAGATAAAAATCTTCTGCAAGGCTAAAGAAAAGAGTGTAAAATCAAAAGAGAACCAGTTGTATGGGAAAATATATTCGCCAATGATACCTTGGACAAAGATTTGATCTCTAAAATATATTAAGAACTCACATGACTCCCCTCCAGAAAGACAAACAAACCAATTAAAAAATGGGCAAAGAACTTGAACAGACATTTTTCTAAGGAAGACATACAGAGAGGCCAGAGACCTATGAAAGGATGCTAAGCATCCCTAGCAACCAGAGAGATGCAAATTAAAACCACAGTGAGATACCACTTCACACAGGTGCATGACCATCACAAACAAGTGCGGGAGAGGTTGCAGGAAAAAGGGAACCTAGTACATTGTTGGTGGGCATGCAGACTGGTGCAGCCACTGTGGACAACAGTATGGAATTTCCTCAAAAAACTAAAGATGGAAGTGCCTTTTGACCCAGTAATTCCACTGCTGGAATTATACCCTAAGAATCCTGAAACACCAATCCAAAAGAACATATTCACCCCAATGTTCATAGCAGCATAATTTACAATAGCCAAGTGCTGGAAGCAAGCTAAGTGCCCATCAGTAAATGAGTGGATTGAACAACTGTGGTACACTCACACAATGGAATGCTATGCAGCAGAAAGAAAGAAGGAGCTCCTATCCTTCGTGACAGCATGGATGGAACTGGAGAGAATTATGCTAAGTGAAATAAGCCAGGCAGTAAAAGACAAGTACCATATGATCTCACCTATAAGCAGAATCTACTCAACAAAACAAGCAAGCAAGCAAAATATAACCAGAGACATTGAAATAAAGAGCCAACTTACAGTAACTAGAGGGGAGGGGAGAGTGGGATAATGGTGGAAAATAGGGGAAGGTCCATTAAGAATATGTACAAAGGACACATGTACAAAGACAAAGGGGGAAGGTTCAAGTGTGGGAGGTGGAGATTGGTGTGGTGAGGGGCTATGGTGGGGTGAAAACTGAGACAACCATAACTGAACAACAATAAAGATATATATAAACTATCACACAGCATCACACATGCAGCATCATAAAAATATATATTCTCAAGCTATTATAGACATAAATATAAAAGTTAATCAGTAAAAAATGGAAAAAACCTAAAAAGTAATGTTAGAGATTATCTTCATTAACTTTGGCTAACTTCTGAAACATGTCCAAACTAAGCACAAATACCCAAAGTGAGATATTGGACTATGGTAACATTAATAACTTTTGTCATTAAAAATTTCCAGTGTAGAAGAAAAATGTAATAAACAGTCAAAAAAGTTGCATCTTACAAGTTCAAAAAAGAGCTCATATCCAAAGTATAAAAACTTCTAGGTAGGAAAATAATAAGCAATATACAGGAGAAATGAATATTGAGAATTTCATAATGAATAATGCTCTGAAAGGTGTGTTCTTTCTACCAGTAATCAGGAAAATGCCTACTGATGTCATAATGATACTTTTATATAGTGATGTAAACTTATGTCACTAAAATTTTTGGCAGCACTAAGCTTTGGAAAGTGGAACTATTTGATAAAATGTATATTTACACAATAAACAGGGAAATGAGATAATCTAATAAATTTGTGATATACATATATTTGTGATTCTGTCATGTCATTCTGACACATAGAGGACAATAAATTATAATTGTGCACATATATAATTATAATAATACAACCATATGAATAATTTTACTTGTATTATTTTAATATTTACAGCATGTAAATATGTATTATTTTAAATATAATATAATATTTGGCAAAGAAACACAAGCAAAAATTTTTATAAAGTAATTATTCATAATGCCCAGATATTAAAAAATCTGTATTCTGAGTAGATTAAAATGCCATGTATACAAAACAACTGTAAAAACTAACTACTAGTATATGCAATCATATATATAAATTGTGCAAAATATCATGTGGGAGTTAAAGGAGACATGTAAATGCATAATGGATGACTCCGATTAGGTTCAAGATTAAGCAAAGATAATTTATAATATAAAATATCAGAACAGTGTTTGAATGTTGGGAAGGAGAAATTATGAGAGAGTGTACAGGAGTGGACTGGCAACTTTTATTTCATGATTTCATTTGAAATTATCTGAGTGTTTTCCATTTGTAACACCCACAACCATAATATCTTTAGTTTCCATGATGTATGGTAGAATTAATTTGCAAAGCTTAGAAGGAAATAAGCACTTACAGATGCATGGTTGTTTATGAAAAGCAGTAACTAGAGATTATCACATGTGCATTAATGACAGAAGATATAAATAAAGTATCATAGAGTTAAACAATGAAAATTTAACAACCTTTAAAATAAATAAACCACAAAAGTATAGAAAATATGAATCTTACAAATACAAACTAAAATAATATTTTTAATAAAATGTTGAAAGCATTGGAAACCTTACCATTTCTTCTTTATTGTCTATATAGAGCAGGCTAGAGTTCTTAGCAGCACAGGCCCTCAAACTCTCATTCCATGTCTTTTTTTCAGTGCTGATGTAATAGCAGTTGTTGGAATATATTAACCACTCTGGTGGACATAGGCCACAATGATATGCTGAGGAAAGATTATGTATAGCTATCCAAGAACAAGGTGAATTTTAAAATAAAAGTTAATTGCAATATCTGCATAGGTATAGACATATTAGGTGCACAGTGTATGCACATACCCTCACAGACTGGTACATATAAAATAAAACACACTCACACACATACACACACACACAAAGGTTCAGCCACTCATCCAATAATTTATATGCTCATATTAGGCAAACATACAAAGAAAACTATCCACTTTTTACGAGTGTTCAATGTCAATGAATGCAACCACATTTTTTAGAATACCAAAATAATCTTTGAGCCAATGGTAACAATGAATATGATGATTTTCAATGAATATTTCTTCATATTTTTTGCATAAGAAAAATACTCTTGTATACTTACTATTTATGAACATATACTTCCCAGGATTATAATTTGTGACCCCCTACTATTCTGACTACCCTGTGTTACAGACAAAGAATGAGCTGCACTCATTTCAGAACTTAGAAAGTAATTAGGTACCTTTCTGGATCCCTGTTTTCAAGGAAGCATTATTCTGCTCTTGTATTACATTAACTAGAAAAAAAAGTAAGTTTTATAAAAGTTATTATGGATCTAAATAAATCATGAAAACATGTTTATTACTTTGAAATGTGATAAACTAAGATCAAAATAATCTGGAATAAAATCGTTTTACAAGAAAAATTAATGAAGCAATGATAATTTGGGGTAAAAATTTTTCAAAAGCCTAGAAAACCAGACTTCACCATCTCTTACAGTATTAAGATTAACCAATACACAGAATTAATTTGTGTTTCTTAATAAGATATTCTAAAGCATGGCTTAATTGTAACACAAGAATATAAACATATATACGGGATATATATGTACATATTAATATATTTATAAACTACTTTATAAAATCATTTTGATATTTATACCTTGGAAAAATTCAGAATAACTATTTTGCAGTTAGTCTAATGGCAAACTTTAATATGAGAGTACTATTCTATAATATTTTGAAGTATTTGGAAGCACTGATGAACACAAAAGTGAAAAATTTCATATCATCTTACAATAATTTGCTTACAGTGAATAACAGCTTTTGTTACCACAGTGCATATCAGGACAAGGCAGATGACCCCTAGGACCCCAGCAATGAGCTTCTCTGGAGGTGATGGGGATGCTGCAGGGAGGGAAATGGAAACACTGAGGAGGAGGGATGGAGACAATTGTTTGGACAGTTTACACACAGAGAATCATATCCATAGACTTGGACCCCAAACCCATATCTACCACTGTAATCTTCCTCTCAGAATATACCATTGCATTTTCACTAAATATAATGCTCTGTGAGTTACTGGTCAAAGACTACAACTTACAATGTCTAAATAAAATTAGTACTCAGTGTTCATATTAACATACCATATTCCAACATCAAGTCCTGATCCTTGATATGAAAAATATCTGAGCTTATCCCCTTCTCTTTCCCACACCTCTGCACCCAGCTGCACATCCCAGAACAGTTACACTGTGTCTGTTGAATGTGTTACCTTTGCAGTGGTCATTCTCGTCACTCCCTCGAAGATCCTGAGAAGCATTTTGAAGATTTAATTCTGCATAGGTTAGTTCCCGCTCAGCTCCTGGAATGGAACCTTTAGTGCCCTTAGGTTTCATGTGCTGTCTCTTTACATCCTTAACCGGATTTAATTCTGTGTAGGTTACTCTTTGGTCACTCATCTCTGCAGCTGCGTGGTGGCTGAGACTGTGCTCTAAGTGCAGTGTACTTACAGAGCAGAATTGGGAAGGATAGAGGGTGAGTATTAGGCTCATTTCCCAGTTGGAGAATCTAAAGTTCTCAGTTGGTTATAAATCTTTAAACAAGTGCCTCATGGTAGATACAATGTTTAAGATATTCTACATTTGACAATGTATTATTAGTTTGAGTAATAAAAAGCAATAAATTAATGATGAATAAACACTTTAATAAATAATAGCACCCTCATTCATTTAAAGTCAGATTCCATGTAAATATTTTAACACCATTAGAATGCTTGTATTAAAAATTGAAATGCTATATTGGAAAAAACAGAGACTATATTAATGATAATTTAAAATATAATAATCATTACAGGCTGAATGTTCTAAAGAAGAAGGATTAGTCATGCTGGCTTATGTAGTAATTTTCTAAGCTAAATTAATTTTATTTAGTGACATACATTTATTTATTAAAGGGTATTAGTTATCATCAATGATCTTTTATTTTGAAAAATTGTAAAGTTTGGGGGGATGGGCTGGGATGGGCTGGGATGGGCTGAGTAAAAGACAGAAAACTGTACTTGAACAATAATTAAATAAATTTAAAAAATGGAAAAAATAAAAATTATAAAGTTTGAGAAATTTTTACAATAAAAAATATTTCATATGTTAAAAAATCTTTGTGACTAAACTTATTCAAAACCTAAACATATTGACAACAAAACAATAACAATTAAATTTTTTAAATGCTTATGTTACACAAGAAATTAGCAGTTGGGCTAAGGGAAAGTTATAAAACCATAACATGATAAATAAATGTGTAGATCATTTATATTATAACACTGTTGTTTCAAACCTCCATAAAGGTATGTGGATGTCAAAGTCAGCGAAGGCACCTTCATTTGTGTGAGCAATGGATCAGATAGTGTAATTTAATAATTCAGTCAATAGGGACCATGGCCAGAGATTTCTAAAATTAATTCTGGCTTTGAAATTTGCAGTGCGTGCCCATTACAAAGCTACTTAGTGTCTAGGAACTTAGTTTACTAATATAAAGAGGGAATAAAATGTACAGGTATAATGCATGGATAACATTTTATCTTTTTAATAAGTTCTCCATAATATTTTAGTTAGGCTGATTATTCTTCGAGGACACTTTTCATGTGAGCACTGACTCACATCAGTTAAGTGCTGTAACATATTTTTTTCCGCATTCTTATCAGTGTGGTATGTTTGCTTACAACGGTAGCTCCATTTTTTAAAAGTCTTCTGATTGTTTATAATTAAACCTTAGTTTACTATTTTATGGGAATACTTCATCCTGATTTTTATTAAAGGGCAAATATTTTCATTTCATTTAATTAAGTGTATAAAATATTTTGTTTGACCACTAAAACCCAAAAAGTTCATTTTTAAAAATCTCTTTTTGAAAGCTGGGCTAAATAAAAATAATATGTGTATACAATTATAACTATATTGATTATAAAATTTAAAAAACACTTCCATGACTCTTACAGGATTTTACTTCAAATTGCCTTGATTAACACACTCAATTACGCATACCTGGGCAATTCTCCTAGGCAAGAGTTTGAAAAGTTCAAGATATCCCTCCAACATATTTCATATTTTATTTTTCTTTTTTTGCCCTAAATTATTTAGATAAAGATACCAATATTCTCTTTGATTTGGTTGTATATTAATTGTTCCTCACTTGTATCACATCTAGCATTTGTAATCTCCCCCTACAGGAAGTGGATCTAAGAAAGACAGGAGAGTAGACAAACACGTACCTCTGGAAGCCAGAAAGTCCTGCATCCTTTGGTGGGAGACCAGCTCACTCTTGTAAACAAACAATCTCTGTGGTCTTCACAGACTGACCTGTGAAGGCTCAGAGTGAAGCATGAGTGGAAAATGTAGTTTTCTCATTAAGGTGTCACTTGACATTTGAACAGGAAATTCTCACGCTTTGGCTATTTTGAAGACTGTATATATCATCATACACCTGCAGAATCTAGGAGACTTTGGGCTGATAGTGTGTCATTCAGTTAGTCCTTTGGCAAATGTATCTGGAAGTTGTTTTCTTAGTCTGAAAGATATCAGGAGACAAAAGACTTGACCACCCGGGCTGTGAACATACTTCCATCTTCGTCACAGACTCTGAAATCTTTGGCCTGGTTAAGAATATCTTAGATGTTTAGATTCTACTGTTAGTCAGGGTTCCTAAATCCTGGCATTCCATTCTTCCTTTCCTTATACTCTCAATATGGCATTTCTATTACAATGGAAACAATTCTAAAATAAAAACCCCACAAACAATAGATGTTTAATGATATTTTTCACCAATAGTCTGAAAACTACTACATTTTCAGCTTTATGGTAACTGTCACAGCAATCAGTAATCCTAAACCTACCTTCTCAATTTCCTTGTCCTGTTGCTTCAAATTCCTTCCTTCATTTTATTATTATTATTAAATGTTATTTAGATTTCCCTTGGTAAAGTAGTATCTCTGTGAAGGATGAAATACTAAAACTTATTGAACTCTATCACCAAAGCAGAGATTAAATTACTACATAACTAATAACTAATTATATTTTTGTTAGTTCATTTTTACATCATAACTAATTGATTGTAATTTAATAGGAATATTTGTTATAAATGACAACAAGAACTAAAATATAACTATGTAGGGGAAAACAGAGCTAATTTAAAATTTTTTCCTTATTAAAAAATTTGAAGGGCAGAAAAAAGACTTCTAAAAGACAAGTTGAATGATACATGAGCATCAAAAGATACAAAACTTTACTGCATGATGGTTTGATATCATGCAGCTGTCAGAGGGGAGGGTGTGTAGGGGACTGGATGAGAAAAGATGAAGGGATTAGCCAGAAAACATATGGGCATAACCCAGAGACACAGACCACAGTGTGGTTATGGCCAGAGGGAACCGGGGTGGGGGCCAGATGGAAGTGGGAGAGAGTGATAGGGACATCTATAACAGTGTAAACCATAAAAATAAAGTTAAAAAGGGAAAATGATAAAAAGAATGAACATGAATAAAGGACACATGGACAAAGCCAAAGGGGGTAGGGTCAAGGGTGGGAGGTGGGGGTGGGCAAGGAGGGGGAGAGCGGTGGGTGAAAATGGAGACAACTGTACTTGAACAACAATAAAATAAATAATAGTTCCTTTATACAAAGGCTTCCAAGTAATAGAAAAAGGAATGCTTTCCAACCTATCCTTGATATTGAAACCCGTCAAGTGCATAACATGAATAAAAACTCATTCTGGACTCTTTGTGAACATGGATAAAACAAATTTAATTCAAGTGAAATAGATGCACTGGATTTTAAAGAAGGACAGCATAAAATGATTATTGTGGTTTTATTTTAGTAATGCAAGATTGGCTTAACATTTGAAAGAAATAAAGGTAATTTACCTCATAATCAGTATACAGAGAAAACATTTATCATTCCAAATGATACAAAATAATTGAAATGTAGCATCAATTGATTATAAAATCTACTAAAAAATATAAATGTTATGGAATGGCTTTAATATGTGAACAGTATAATGAAAAAACTTTAGAACAAATCTCATACTTAAAGATGAAATATTTAAATATTTCCCCCTAAAATAGAGAAGGATACGTATAGAACTTTTTATTGTTTATATTATCCAACATTGGAAATAAAACCCTAGCCTGTAAAAATTAGTCAAGTAAAAAAATAATTGCACCAGGGAAAAAGAAATAAAATACTGTTTAAATAAATTATGCAAAAGAACATGTATGTGCAATGATATAATTAATACAAAAATTGACATGTAAACTTCAATTGTGTTTTTTTCAAGCACCAAAAGTTGCTGAAGAAAATTTTATTAAGTATGCCATTTACAAAATCATGAATGTCAAATACTCATATATTCCTTTTGGACTTCAATATAGGAAAGTTAAAAATGGTAAAGTAATTAAAGAAAAACAAATACATGGAAGGATAAAGCATGATGTAGATTGGAAGAGTCAATATTGTAAAATCACTAATCTTCATAAATTACTTAAAGTTTAAGTGCAGTCCTCAACAAAACCCCAAGTGTTTTTAAAAGCTTTATCTAGGTGTAATTTACAAAGCATAATATTCATGCATTTTGAGTGTACATATCAGTCATTTTAAGTATATTACTCACAGAGTTTTGTTACTATCACCACTATCAAAGTTTGGAAAGTGTTCAGCCCCCAAAGAAGCAGTGGACCAATTAGCAGTCATTTCCTGTTCCCATGTACCCCCTGCCCTCAGCACCACTCACCCACTGCCTGCCTCTGTGGGTTTGCCTATTCCTGATATTTCATTTAAATTGACTCCCCAACATGGGATCTTTTAGAAAAGTTGAATGCCACAAATATAATGTTTAGCAAATAACACCAAACACTAAAAGCAATGATATCTGTACTTTTAGTCATGTATATTATTTTAAAATAACTGTTATGAATTTTTGTCATTATTAGACAAGTGATATAATTCATTCAAAGACCTATGCAATCATATTATTTCCATTTCATAAAAAATTAAAGTTACCAGGCAGAATACAGACTCAAGTGTTTTAACTTGAAAGCTTATAGTTGCAAATATACATTTTTGAAGATCCACAAGTACTTGACATGCAGCCGTAGGTGTGCAGCATAGCACAGTTACCGATACCATATGATAAGTCTACTATCCTGTAATGGGGAAAATGCATAATTTTGTTGTTACATTGTATGAGGGCAATCCATGAAACAATGACCAGCATTTTCCATGTAACTGGAATATTTTGCAAATGGGTAATGATATTTTCATATATTATTAGTAGTAAGCATTAGTTATTAAGAAACTAAGTTCTCATATTTATTATTTCTATCAACACTTCACTAAGTTGGGATATCATACTTACAATTCAACTTAAATGTATTGATATTACACTGCTGAATTGTTCTTTTATATTTTCCTTTTGCATAGAACTTAAAAAAATTTACACTGTTGTGAGAATAGAATCATTTATTGACATTCACGGATGATCACTGTTTCTACAAAAAACTTTGACCCATGACAGAGGTGATATGAAACTCAGAAGCTTCTATCCCAAAATTTTTTAAAAATTTGAATAATCACTATGAAAGTTTGTATTGTTTTTTTAAAATGCAAGTAACTAATTGTTTTGTAGGATCTTTCATTTTGAGAACAAAATGAGAGTTTTGGGTCTTAACCTAACACAAAGAAATATTAAGATTTCTATTAAATGTATATTAAAATCACTTTTCATATTGTCAAAAACTTTCACCAATATTTGTTTCATATTTTCAATTTCCTTCTTAGGTTGTTAGGAATAATTCTGATTCATGTAATTTAATAGTTACTCATGTTGACAAAATGAACTAGCAAAGCTTTATATAAGTTTCCAAAAACTTAATGAATTTGATACCTTACTAAATCAATGTGGCTTTATTCTGTTTTTCAAAGACCAGATTTTTAAAATAGGGGTTGTAATTAAGAAATTAGATTAGATAAAATAGAAAAATTTGTTCTTGGGGGCCGTGCACCATTCTTTACCTGGATAAGCCCTGGATTGGTCTGTTTTTTGTTGGTGGAATCCAATGGTCCATGTGTCAGAGACTCATTTCTCTGATAACTGCAACTGTAAATTCCAAAACTAATGAAAGATACAATACAAAGAGAACTCTGAAAGGTGGAAAACAAAGGGACAGAGGTTTAGTACCCCCAAAACAGGGAACAAAAGAGTGACAGGAATCTTATATACCCACCCAATAGAAGAAAGTGAGTGAAGCCTGACACTTCCCAGTACCCTACCTAACAACAGGAGGTGGCTGAAGGAAGCCATTCCTCTCTGCTCTGCAGAGGGAAACCTGCCCAGCAACTCCAGGCAGGCCTACAAGGTGATCCATGAGGACACCTGCTAACAAAAGCAAGCAGAGAAAGTGCCTCTCCTTTCCCTAAGAGAAACCAGGGTAGGTGGGTTGGAGGTGGGACCAGCAAAGGGGATTTTATGGCTAAAAGAAATGGGCACAGGAAGGCTCTTTATTCCTTAGAGCATAAGATTCACATTTCCAATGAAAGGCATGAGATAGATGGATTTTAAACATTGTATTTGTATAATTCAGCAATGAAAATTAACTAACAGCAGATAAATACAATATACATGTATGAAATGCATCAATGGCACATGCGAATAAAAAGAGAGGGGAAGAAAAATGTCTACTGCATGCTTTCATTTATATGAGGTTCAAAAACAAGCAAAGAGACTCTACAATATCACAGTCAGCCCAGGGGGTAAGTGTGAGGGAGGAGAGGAGGATAGAGAACGGACACTCAGGAGCAGGGCTGTGGAGAACCGCCCAACTGCATTCTGTGATCTAATTTGTAATCACATGGTTCCATCCCCTGTGTAACCAGTGTGCTCAGTTGTGATGTGGTTAGTGTCCTTCACATAAGGTAAAATTAAACAGCAAAGTTTATTTTAGAAACCAAGCATATATAGAAGCACAGTGTTTTATGAAAAGCAAATAGGCATTACTGGTATGCAATAAAATAAAATATTATAAAGTCAAATGATGGAATAATATACTGACTTTAAATAGCTACAAATATGCACAAAGTATAGATGAATTCTACACATATAATATTGACAGACACAAGCCTTTAATAAAATGTAGAAATGTGATATCTTACCCTTTCTTCTACATTTTCTATATCAAGCAGGCCAGAGTTCTTAGAAACACAGGCCATCAAACTCTCATTTCATGTTTTCTCTTCAGTACTAATGTAATAGCAGTTGTTGGAATATGTAAACCACTCTGGCGGACAACAATGACAAGGATATGCTGAAGGATGATTATGAATTATTATCCAATAACAAGTTGA